GGCAATCTAACATATCTATTTGAAGTCCCAGACGTTGAGAAAAAAAATTGCCTGCGCCCAGGAGTTTGAGCCTACAGTAAGCTGTGGTTATACCGTTACACTCTAGCCTGGGCAGCATAGCAAGACCCTGTCCCTAAAAAAAGAAAAAAAGATCAGAAACAAGAGAAGACTGCCCACTGTCCCCACTTCTGTTTAACTTTGTACTAGCCTTTTGGAGCCTTCTGGGACTTGAGTCTAGCTATAGGTCTAGAAGCAAGCACCTCAAGGAAATTACCTGTAGGTTGTCAGGCAAAACAGGGTTAACCTTCTCAGATGGGGGTGGAAGGGCTGCTTCTACTGGCAAAGAAGACTCAGCAGAACGTACAAGTTCATTGTCCCCAGCTTCAATAGGATTGGTACACCCATTTGTCAAACTTTACAGTTCAGATTTGTGCATTTCATTGTAGGTAAATTTTATGTTAAAAAATAATTATTTGGTAATCCTATGGTAGGGTGCAGGTAGGTGCATTTATAGGTGGTATAATCATAACAGTGTTGATAATGGTTGAACAGAGGAGATGGGTACATAGGTGTTCATTATACTATCCTATTGTTATATTTAACCATTCTTCTTTTGGCGACATTCGGTTTTTTTGAATTTCAAATATTTTCTTAGGATGGATTCTTAGAACAGAATTACAAGTTTAAATTATATGACCATCTGGCCTTTGATTTAATTGGCTGTACTAATTCATACTCCCATCAACAGTGAGAATACGTATCATACATCATCCCAGCTCACTTTTCTCTCATTTTACCCCCATGATTGCTAAAGAAATAGTTATTTTAAGGACACATAAATACTAGTAAGTAATAGCCATGGTATTGATATTAATAGTTTGTCCCATGATATCTGCTTCACCTATCAGAAGTGGATCCCTAGGCTTTCCTTCCTCTTTTTTTTTTGTTTTTTTTTTATGGTAGTCAGTACCATACAGGTTTAGAAAGGTTCAAGGGTGAGCCTGGTCTGGTCCTCTGACTGCATTCATGGCTATGTACATCTTGTAGCTTCACCTCATATGCATCTGCTGACGATCTGAAGGAGAAACTGTTGCTGCTCCAGCTTGAAAGGACTATTGCTCTTCCTGTTGAGCCTGTAGGGCATGGTTAAGGTCCTGTCAGTAATGATATTAGTACTTATTAAACATCAAAAATGCCCCATCATCATCCTCTTAGAGTTTTTCTGATCAAACTTAGAAGCAAACTTACTGTTAATATCAGATTATACTAAATTCAAGTTCTTTGGTTTTCCTGTCCCCAGGTTCACTGCACCTCAGGCAGAACTCTATGAAGCTGTTCTAGAGATCCAGAGAGACTGTCTGACCCTGTGCTTCCCAGGGACAAGCTTGGAGAACATTTACAGCATGATGCTGACACTGATAGGACAGAAGCTTGAAGAGTTAGGGATCATGAAGAATGTTAAAGAAAATAATGCCTTCAAGGTACTTCATTTCTCTTGACCCCAGTTCTCAAGAACACCTAACATGCTGCTAGGTTTTTACCCTAAATAAAGCTATTAGATTTAGATAATGGTCTTTGCAGTTTGTATATCTGTAAGAGGAGCTTAGCTTTAACATAGATTAAAACAAAAGAAGTCAGTACTTATTTCCTCCAGGAGATGGCAGCACATTCTGATTCATTGGATACTGCATTACTAGCTCAATATTCAGAAAACATAAAATCAAGTATGGTGCAGACAGGGTGGAAAAGGACAAAAAGTGAGAAGTTAACTTTTAGGCCTTTTGTGCTGAT